ACATGTCGCACATTTAACTTCTCGAATAGCGAATTAAATCTAACTTGATGTTGATTTCAATGGTTCTGCATGACTCTGCCCTCTAGCATCCCGTGTGCAATTATAAATTAGTGTCGCGGAGGAAAGCAACCAACACTAAAAAGATATTCCGATAGGTTCTTTGCGTTCTCCACTTATGTATGTAAGCAATACTTAAAAAAGAATTTTCCCCGTCCTTCTGAGAATCTTATGTATTGAAGAATCACAAACTTCTACCAAATGGCAGACGAGAAAATCGTATAAAACTAAATCGCGAAGAAAGATGAGGCGAAAGAAATTTCGTGCATGTATAGCAGTAAGTTAATAGATGGCAAAAGTGGACTGCGCTACTGTCTTGCTACTATGAAATGTAGCTCAGCTCTTCTTGACTCTGAAGATAATAACGTGCAGCCCGTTATTAGTATCAAAATGTATCGAAAAAGGACTCCAGTGCTTTTTGTCGGCAACAGAGTTCTTGATGATCACACTTGAGCCTCTCTTCGAAAATGTCTGATGTTCTTTGGGAACGACAATATTTTTTGATAAACTTAGAATTTGCACTTTGAGGTGGGGTTCATTACAAAACATTTAATTGAAGCTATGAAACCCGTAGTAAATTGTGAGCTCCTAAAACTATCACCCGCGCAAGAAATGAGACAGCTTGGAAAATGGTAGTGCATGCCATAGATGTCGGATGTCCGACATCTATGACATGAACCGACATCGGTTCTGACGAGCTGTACAGTAGGGGGGCATACCTCGGCGGGTGCTTTTTTGGTTGATGAGAAGGACTTGGCATTCGAATTTGTACGCGTGCTCTCCAGGGGTGATGCCCAATTGGCGTCGCGAAACCGGGCGAGAAGTGCAATTATCGCAATCAGGGGGGGGGGGGGGGGGGGGTATTTATGCAAATTTCGTGCACTGTAGCACTGTAGCACTGTAGCAGTGGTAGAAAGTCAAAAATTCCTGATACATAATGTATTTGCGAAGATATATATATTAACGTTGTCCGTAAAGTTACGAAAACGCGTGTTTTGGCGACGAGTTTGCTCGGATTTAAAACTCAGGGCATGTGAGTTTTCCACGAGTTTCACGTCCGCCTGATCACAGCAGAAAAATAATTTCCGGAGGCTCCCACTAGTGCCGGATCGACCCGTCCTGAAAAAAAAGAAGTGGGTCTTCTGTTCTTTCCATCAGCACAAACGAGTCCCAGACTGCATGGGTCATAGCGATATGCGTCATGGACGCCCCTATCGCTTCATCTGCGCCGAGCCATCAATGGGTCAAATCGCGACAGGATCTGCCACAGATGCCGCCGAAGCAACCGCAAAAGATAGACAACTAGAAGCTTCTTAAAAGCGGTCCTCTCCAAACGGCCCCCCTCAGCCTGTCAAGAAGACGAAACACACCACCCTTTCAACTGAGAACCTTTCTATCCTTGTGGCGAGCTACAATATTCGCTTCAGCGAGTATTCGCGCAGGTGCACGTGATCCGCCGGGCGGCACAACGATGTACCAGACTTGGGTTTGTTGCGGGCAGGTACCTTGCTGGAGGTCAGTCCGCATAACTCGTGGTGGAATTATTCAATCTCGGGTTTACGTAGGGTGACCCCACCGAGCCTTGCCCAAAATCGCAAAAAGCAGACAGTTGTCCTCCGGTAATTGGATCTAGTATCTTTTAATCAAGCCGCGCTTTGGGGGAGGTGGTGATTCAGAGATGAACCCCACCGCGCCTGTAACACGATACTTCTATCATATTCAGGGTCACTCCAATTAGGCTACAAGTCTGTCGTAGAAATACATGTCGTAGAAATACATTTGGCGCAAAGAAGCAAGCTACTGCACGCGTCTGTTCCACAATTGGCGCAAAAGCCATTTGGAAGAGCTCTGGTAGAGCTGTAAGCACATGAAATTCAGATGTTTTCTGTACCGTTACTATAGAACGAAGCTCGCCCAAACGGCGCGTTGGACAAAAATCTCGACCAAGTAATTTTGGTTTGGAAAAGAATCCTGCCCAAATTCTAAACTTTAGGACAAATGCTGGCGCGGTGGGGTTCAAAATCTCTTCCATCGGTCTAAACTTTAGTAGTTGGAATTTTAGGACTGAAATTTTGTTGGCGGTGGGGTCACCCTTACGTCCAGCGAGTTTGTGGGCAAAAGGAAAAAACAACGCATTATTTTACGGGCAACCTTAAGAGAGTCCCAAAGAGATGGAAATGCTTCCTCAAATCTCGAGAATAGAATGGGAATCACAAGTGCCCTATGCGTCTGCTACAGTTAAGAAGGTGGTGGCATGGATGTGCCAGGACCAACATATATGAGAAAGTCAAGTCTTGCTCAACAAAGATGAAAGGCAACGTCACTGCGGTCAGTGGCCTATCAATAGTGATTTGTTGTTATGGGAGAGCGGGAAAGAAAGTTATTTTGAGAAAAGGCAACTGCAACAACTGCAACTGTCTGAAGAAATGAAATGATCTGATAAGTGGTGCATCATAGGTTGATATGAGGAGGCGGGGGTGGCAGAGCTGAGTTCAGGAGTGACGAATGACCGGTATCCGGATTGGGCTCCGCCCCGAACCAATGCGTCTTTTGAACGTTTCTTTACTCTATCTGTTTTGTGCTTTTCGTTCCCTTTTTCTCTCGAGAGCAGGTGCTCGGGGTGCTGCCTTATACTACTGTACCGCTACTTAGCGCCGACGGGCCCTTGAGGGCAGACTACCGCGCTACTGTTGACAGTAGCGCTGACATCAGCGCTGTCGCTGTATCGCCCAGCAATGATTGAACAGACAGTCTCACACCGGCGGTTTGAGCCGACAAGGAGTAATCAAAGGAGCGTAGTTTAAAGAGTGTTTTGAAAGGAGTGGTCGGTTGTTGCGAAAAAAGCATTTGAGGGAAGTAAAGGACGATTGGCACGCAGACCCAGGAGTGGGTCTCATTACAGTTGCTGTGCCTTTCACACAGGACTCCTGTATGTCACGCACAGGAGTTCTGTGTGAAAGGCACAACTGTAATGTGTTTTGGTGGGATTAGGGGATTTCACTGGAGATTAGACTGGAATGGAATGGCTAGAGCGTTGACACGATGGCCATGAGTATTCGGTGAGGTCACATATGATAGGATGGGGAAGAGCAAGCAAGGTTAGAGTGGTTGTCCTGGGGGCCGCAGTGGGGGTGTTGAGCTTGTACAAGCTACAAGTAGCAAGAATGCAGCGAGGCACAGTAAAACTAAATTTCTACAACTTGAAGCGGTTCGCGAATGAAGAGCCAGTTTGTGCTGAAGGTCGTGATGCCAAGACCAGATGCCTCCGACCCACTGAGGTGGCGGAGGCGCCGGTGGCTTTATGTTGTTATGAATTGTACTTGCCCTAATGACGGTGCCCTATCCGAGGGTGCTGCGTTATCTGGGTGGACGCACAAAGGCGAATACACTACAGAAACACATCCAAAAAGAGGACTCGTTCTGAACTACGGGCGAGGAATTGATATGTAGCCGTGGCCAGGTGATGTGCTTTCCCCTTCGTACAGTAATGATTCCCGTCGCCACCTTGTAAGATGGGTGTGAATTGGGAAGATCTATGACGGGAGGGCAGAAGGGCAGGAAGCTGCACAGTGACAGCAAGTGTTGGCAGACATGGCTACCGTCATGCGCTACCGTCATGCGTGTACTACGTGTATGCGTATGGCTCTAATGACAAATAATTAACATCGTGCCCACTTATAACCTCACCGCCCGCAACACTTCGCAGCGAGTCGAACGCTATATAAAGCCTACCCCCCAACTCACCACAGACCAACTTCTCTCTCATTCAACTCAGTCTCGCACCAAAGTCCACTCTCTCTCTTTCTCTGTCTGTGCCCGTTTCTTGCCCCACAGCTACCTCACCCACACACACACAACAACAACAACAAATCTCTCCACTACCACCATGTCGCAAACCTCTATGCCCTGGACCTGGCTCGACCCCGTACTTGGTGTCCTAGGCGCCCTTTTAGCCACCATTGCCGGCGTCTTCCTCACACACGCCGTCAACGTCCGCCGTAACCGCTCTCGAAAGCCCTCTGTGCCTTTTCTTGCGGTCGCTGTTGCACAAGATCTCCATGCTCAACCCCAACCCCAACCTCAACCGCAACCCCACCATCTACCTGTCGCCGTCTACACACAGACGCATGTCTCCATCGTCGTCAAGTAATCCATCTCCACCTGTCAGATATCAACTATCCCCTTCGCTCTCCCTCTACGCCCAATTCCTCCTTCTTTCCATCCTCTTGTTTAACCCTTTCACTCCATCTCCATCTTCATTTCTAATCTCTCTCTTCTTGCAACCTCATCACCTGTTTTCAGAATCAGCTGGCCAGGAGGTCCTGTTACCCATTCGCCACACCTTCAAACTACGTACAGTATAGCACTGTCCAGTCTTTCGCGACTGCCCCTGTACGGTATTGGCTGTTTCCAATTCATGGCCGCAATGCTCCCTGATCTCTCGCTACAGCGAGTGCATTCGTGCAGACCTTTGTACACGTGTACACGACTCCTTGCTGCTACAGACGACCTTGATAAGGCCAAACCCCTGATCTCAGCAAGCTTTGCTGCGAGGACGGACAGTTCGGGATCATCGTCATACCAAAACTATTGCCTTCTACAATTAGTCGTGAACGCTCTCCGACAAGTGGAGCAGTTCAGTGTGAGGAAAAGACGGCTGTCGAAAGTGCTTTGATCACCATCTGCAAGTTCCATATCGTGCCTTCTCTCACACGAGCCATGCTCAAAACAGGAGGCACACCTGGTAAACACTGTCTTTTGAACCCCCTTTTTGCACGGCGATGCCTGAAGTATAATTCAACTTCGTTTATTCCGTCTTTCAACTATGCATTACCTTAATCATTGGCATGTCAGACTCGATTCCTTCACACTCGCGATGCCTTCTACTGCGCAAAGTGTTGCGCCGCCTTGTCCTTGTTACTGCCTGACCCACTCCGTCTCCATCACCATCTGTGATAAGTTTCGATAAACCTGTCCTTCATCTTCACCAGCGCGCATCCCGCTTGTGTCAACCACCATTCCCTCTCCGCTGATTCCGCCTCACTGTACTGTGCATATTCCAACCTCATTACCAACAACGACAGCCAATGTACACATTTTCCAATTGCCCTCCACCGCTCCATTCTTTCCGTCTCCCCAAAACAGCTCCACATCTCCAGGAACAGACCTTCCCTCAAAAGCCATTCATCTACAGCTGCCAATGCACACCCAACAAATCCCTCAAACCATCTGTGGAATAAATAATGCTCACCACCTTCATCCTTTCGGCACCCTTGCCCACCGAGCACCGTCTCCGGAATTCCGCATCCCATCAGCTCCGTTACTCCATTCCGAATTCGCCTATTGGTCCCCAAGTACCATCTTGCACTCTTTTTGAACGCTTCTCTGCTTGCCATATCCCGAAACATCGGCAACTGCTCTAAGTTATCTAACTTTCTTAGTAGTACCTCTGATCGCAAATCCATCAACCCACCTTCTACAAGTTCACTTGTCCTCCCGATCGTCCCCATTTGCATCCTCACATAATCCTTGGTTGCTGCCTCTGCTTCCTTAACCGATGCTTTAAATTCAAAGGGGCCCGGGTGATCCCGCATCAATACCGCTTCCTTGTTTTCGCTCACACACACCACCTTAAAGATGTAACGCGGCACCATGTGCCCAAGAACTGCTATCTTCGCTGCACCGCCACCGCTCCCTGGGTATGCAATAACCATGAAATCTCCTATGCTCGTTTTCGCACGCACCATTACGCCGCCTACCAATACCTGCAGCCCAATAGAGCTTGCATTGCACTTGGCGTTGTAATCCTCTTCCAACCTTTCTATCATCCAAGAACTGACGTTTTCAATCCAGTCTGTCCTTTTCCATGGTATATTGTGTCTTGCTACTGTTTGGCGAGCCAGTTCTCTATTTCCACGGGCTACCCCTGCAGCGGGAATGTGCATAGGACTGGGTGCGGTTGGGCCAATCTCCGGAATATCATCTTTGATACCGCTCCCTTGCTCTCTCTTCGATATTAGCTTCATCAAAAGCGAGTAAAATTTCGGGCCTGGGTTCGATATTTTGATTTTGACTTTCATTTTGATGGAGTGCGTTCCTGTCGACATGTTTTGACGTTGGACACTGATCCCCCCTTTACTCACGCCGGCATCTGGGTGTTGTGTAGGCTGTTGTGGAGCAAGTGGGATTTTGACGGGCGGTTGAGGCCGACCCGGGGGTAGATGTTGGATGTTCGGCTCCAAGTTCGGCGGGGTGGACGCTTGTGGACTTTTAGCGGAAGTATCGTTGGCCTCGGGGAAATATTTGATGGGCAAGATCCATTTGGATGCGTTCGGTTCATGCTCGATAGCAAAGGGGGAGCCCGGCTTGTAAGGGGGGGTTTTCTGCAGCGGGACAGCGGTGGCGATGACGGTCACAGTGTGTGCGGGGTGGTTGCCATATTGTGCGGCGGGACACGGAGGCGTGAGGGAGACGGTGACGTCGCGGCCTTGGCGGTGCGGGATTTCGTCGACGGAGGGGCTTACTGTGTAGATGTTACCGGCACTGGAGGTGACTTTGAAGACGACGGTGGTGTATGTGTCGTTAGTGATGCGGAAGATGGCTCTGTGAGGGGCCAGTGAGTTGCACGGGAAGCTCAGGAAGTGCTGGTTGACGTAAACTGCCAGCGGCATGGTGGAGGGTGTGGCTAGGCGTCGCAGAAGGAGAGACGAGAGAAGGGAAGAGGGGGGTGGGGTTGGAGATGGTGCGATTCAGAGGAATACTTGTACTCTACCTCATTTGGCGAGTGGAGGTAGTGAGAGGGGGTCGGACATTGTTGCCGTCCTGAGGGGGTTGATCTCAACGCTCTCAAGAGCGTTGCTGTGCACAGCAAAGCGGGGACAGGGGGACGTGAGGTTCACGTTACTGTTGTATTATTAGAGCTCAGCCACAAATATCGAGCTATTGCGCAAAGGCCTTTTGATGCACAATTGTCTAGACATTTCAAACAACGCCCGTCAAAGTGCTCATAAAATGATTAGGCCAAAGGCTTTGGTATTGCAATAGAAATTTATTGTTTTCCGACATATCTGTAATTACTGAACACCAATTTCATATCAAAAATAGTTCGCAACAACAAATATCCTAGCGCACTAATCACGGAGACTGAGTGTCTTCGTCAGAACCAATCATGCTGCGAAACCTGGTATCCATCTTTTGTCGACGCTTGCGAAAGTAGCGTTCTTGCCGCAATTTGCGCTTCTCCAAAAGCTCACCCCCGATACTGTAGTTGCGATTTTTGAATCGCTGATAGAAGTCCAAATCGTCACAACGCAGACCGTCGACACGAACATGCGCGTTTGTCAGCGCTAGGCAGAGCCTAAAAATGGGATCATAATTGGCTTCACTCCACCGATACTTGCTCCCAACCACTCCCCAAAGCGAGGATAGACGCCTAAAAAAATTCTCCACTATGATTCTATCCGAAGATAGTTTGCGGTTAAAAGATTCCTCCTCGAAAGACAACATCCCACGGGCAGGACGCTTGTGGGGTGTAACGGCGCGCACAAATTCCATTGCCCCCTGGTAACCTTTGTCTGCAATAAGGCACCAATGCTCCGGAAACTCCTCCGAATAAAGTACACCATCTGTCATTTACCCCTCTCCCTCACACTTTCGCAAGGCTGTGTCGTGAAAAGTCTTGTTGCGGTGCATAATATCGATGTCCGAGTAGGACCCCGGATAATGTTGTGCAGAATCAATCGCAAACTCAGTCGGTAAGACCGAAACCTCTACTTTATACCCATATAATTTTGTGCTTCCCCGAAAAATATTTTTTAGATTCCTCATGATTTCCCGATGGCCGATTCGTATGCCGAAACGTCACGTCAGTTGCGTACAACGCATACCTGAAATTGTTAAAGGTTTTTGCTTTCTGTTCCAATACAGTCATGCTGTGATGCTCCATCTTCTGGACTACAAACAGACGATAAAACTCATCCGTTATTAGACGGATGAAAATCATTATAAGACGCTCGAACGTTGGCCCTTTGATCTTAAAAATACGCCCTAGGAGGTCCCAATTACCGCTGTGCTTGAGGACCGTAATCACCATGAACAAAACGTCTTTGCCCCTAAACGGAGATTTGCGTCCACGCCCGACATTGAATTTTGACGTTATAAAATCCGCGAACGTCGTCCAAATGCTTTGAAATTGCCGAATATTAAAGTTTGTCATTTGGAAGATTGACGCAGACCCCCCACTCTGATAGAATGTGTCGAGAATGGGGGACAGAGAGTCATATTCTTCGTCAGAGCTGTTATTGAGAGGTGTAGTCTCATATCGAGGAAATTCTTCATCACGGCGGAGGGCTGTGTCGGCGAGGATCTGGATACCGGCGGTGGCCTCGGTGGCCGAAATATTCTGCATGTCGGAGTCCGTGATGAGGCAGGGCACGGCGCTGAAAGTAGAATTTGTAGCACGAGGAGCGATCTGTGCTTTTCTTTCAATACAACCAGTAGAAGGCGCGAGGGGAGTACAGTGCCTGGTAGGGGAAGGTGCGGCTGGTGTGCGATCGGGGCATTGGGAAAGCGTTATTAAGAGAGCACGAGGTGTGCCCGGAGTTGTGGTGTGCACGCGTGGGTGCAAAGAGTAGGGGAACGGAAGGGATGATTGCGGGGGGATGGGTGGGAAGGCGGCCGGGGAGGACGGCGAGGGGGGCAAGGGAGCCGCTGTTGGGGAGCTGGTGTAGATTTGAAGGGTCGGCGATGTGCATTTTTGATTGTATAGTGAGATGACGCAATGGGTCTACGTGTCGACATCGAGGTATTGCGCAAATACAGTGCGTTTTTTGAAAAGCCCGCCCAAATGACGTGAATGTCTTTTTACTGTACAAAATCCTTGCTGTCTAGAAAAGATATTTGATGTACGAAATCTCGTCAAAAATCGTGCTTTGATTAGTTCCACAGATAGTATATTGTCATTTCTATATTACTTGGTCCGTTCTATTTTTAGCCCTGCTATTTTGCAATTATCAGAATATATGCTCAGCAATCGCGGATGTGCGCGGGAGGTCTATTGAGGACTATGGT